ACATCGGTTCTGAAGATGAGAAATTTTAATGACATTTGCTCTTTAAAAAAAGATAGCTTAACTCGGATTACTGAGCGGAGAAATAAGAAGATCTCAGAGAATAAAACTATGATTAGATTGAGATGTAATTTAAAAAGAAATTAAAAGCATGAAAATCTTAAGTATGCTTTGAAAACCAGGCTTTTTTAAATTCTGGAATGGAATTAAGAATAAATAGAATAGAACAAAAACTTTTCTGACATTTCACGGCGTTACATAAACTTCCCGCCATTTGTTACCTGTCACTGTCAAATTAACCTTTTTATCTGTCGAAAGGTTGCAAAATTTAATGTAATTTTAACAATAACCTTTGCATATTTCCGCAATTATGCAACGGAGTTTATTTGTGAGTAGTCAAGTATCAATTTACTGAGCACTTGGCCTCAATTTACAGTCTGTACGGGTTGAATCAACTTCTTGACCTTCTGTCAACGCAGACGGCCCATTCATGCGTTATTAACCGTCTCTGTCTAATAAAGGAAATGTTGTACGAGAGAGAGCGGGCGAGAACACCGGATGTGCACTCGATAATTCCTAATTAGTTGGACAGGCGGGGTTTTAATGAAGATCGTTAAGATACTTAGAAAGCTCGTGCCTTCTCTTGATAAACAACAAATTATTTTCATATTAATTAACCATTTAAAAGTAGTTGACATTTTAAAAATAGTCACTGCCATACAGAAATCTGAAGTGGTAAATTGTAGTGTATTTCTGAGTGTATGATGATGAACAGAGATGTAGTAATCTATGAAATCTATACTATTATAATAAAGCGTAAACACACACTTCTTTGTTGCCTAAGATGTCAGCAATTACAGCATATTTTTGCATTATTCTTTGTTTAATAAAAAGCCCTACACTTACATCAAGCTTTAGGCTATATATTTTCTCGCCATTAAACTGAGGGGGTAAATATTTTGGATAAAAACCCTAATGTGGGAAAGAGACCATAAGTTGCTGCCAACATCAAGGAAGCAAGATTGCCAAGGTTTATCATGTCATGTCATTTTGACATTTGCTATTGATAATATGACAAATGTAAACAATAAAATCATAATTTCATGCGGATAAAGCCGCACGGGAACAGCTAGTTTAATAATAAACGTCTGATACGTTTTAATTAATGCATATTCTAAAAAGACAAAAGATTGTTTCATAAATTCAACCTGTTATTTTTATATAAAACTAAAACTTAATGAATCATACCGAGAGACATAGACTAAACTATAAAGCACTTAAAAATAATTTGGAAGAGTGTAAATCGATCAAACAGACTTCGTAAAAGACGTCAAAACATTGGAGGGTTCGAGACTTATGATTTAAGTTTTGTATACAACTCTTTGTACTCCTCTATATTGTTTATGGCTATAGATCGTCGATGGCACTAAGTGGATAAGACCACGTACCTACAAAAGTATAAAGTGGATATACTTGACTTGAAAACTCGTGTTTTTTCATGTGAAATCTAAGATTTAATACGATGTGCCCGCATGTGTTAAAAACATAGCCTATGTTACTTATAGATAAATTACCTTTCTAATAGTAAAAGGATTTTTAAAATCGGCAAAGTAGTTATTGGCTAGTTATTATAGGCAATCGAATACATACAAATTTTAACTAATACATTCTCCTATTATTCAAAAGATTTTTCACCCGTATCAAATTATGTCATCAACATGTCCGAGTGATTTGCAAAACAATTAAAATTTCCCACCAAATACTGAATCTCCACAAATCA